ATATATATATGCTGTCCCAAGAAGATGGAACGTCTTGGTTTGAATAGTCCGCAGTTAACGTCTCATGCTACCAGTAGTGCTTTCTACATTTTATGTCCACAGAACAGAAGATTTTAAAAGACTCTAGTTGTAGTTCTTTTTTATAGCCTTTACCTACTGAAAAAGATCAACAACTTCAGCAGAGACTGAGAAAAATGACAGAGGTATAGGTTTCCATAAACATGGAAGGTCTCTATGAAAGACAAATAGATTTAGTCAAGGTATTGTTATTATTATTTCATTCGGAAAGCGCACACATGGGTGTCTTTGTCATACATTTTAAAGACTTACAGCAGCCAGTCCGTTTTATCGGAGTGCCTTAAAGTAACTCAATTTATGTAACAGTACATGCAGTCATTAGTCTTATTCTACTTGCATGCAGAAAAGTTTACTCATTTGCATCATTCCTGGCAAAATAATACACTGCCAGAATAAGTAACAGAGAAACAAGTTTGTTTGTTTTATAAGTTTTTTCAGTATTCCCTGATAGAAGGGCTATGGGGTATTGGAAGATTAAATGTATAAGAAGAAGTAAGTTTAGTATTTGGGGAAATGAAGCTTAATTAAATTTTATGCCAAGGCAAACAAGCTTTTTTTTTTTACTTCAGTGAAAAGGTTAAAAACAACAAGCATTGCACTGTTCATGGGTAACAAAATTACCCATCTCTAAAGGTCACATTAAGTTGTGGTCACGTACAGGAGTATTTTTAGCTGATACAGTGACTTTGAGGACTCTTGAAGTAGCAGTCTAAGTAACACCGAGTAATAACACAATCTGTCCCACTGTTGAGCATTGGTATATAGCTTTTGTTATGTTTAGTCAGAGCCAGGGTGGCTGCTTCAAGGTTTCCACTCTTTGTGCCAAACTAACTGCTAACTGTCAGACACGTTTTGTGTAATCACACTTTCATGCTAGCTCAGAAGAAAAGGTTTTAATTCTCTGGAGGATCTTTAACACAGAGACAGTAAATATCACGGCTTACTATTTCTGGGAAATAGCTGATGATACTATTTTGTACCATGCAAAAGTCTTGAGCCAGTCCTTGTTTCTTTATGCTTTGCTAGGTAAACCTGGCAATAGGTGCAACGATTTACTGAAACAGGCAAATGTACATGTACATAAGGCAAAAATAGAGTTTGTACGATTCTAACAGGCTTGAAAGTCATTGTTTGGTACGACACCTATATTTCTACACAGCCTGAACACAAGAGTTCTTTTAATTTTTTAAACTAGTCTACAGAAATAGTTCTCTAGTCTTCTCGAAGGACATTCTTATTTGGATGTTGTGTGTATTGTAGACACTGATTACTGTATCTCCTCCAAAGACACTGATGACGACTGGACCCAAAAATTTCAGATTTATATTTTTCACTCAATAAGAACTGTTGCCACTGATTTTCAGTTCTGTTCTTTTAATTTTGCATACAGCCTTTCTCCCTGTTTTTCTTCCTTAACAGGGGCTTCTTGACAGTGACCCTTTCACTGAGACCATTTTTGATGAGGCTTCACTGAACATTAGACAGAGGCATCTTGCTCCTCTCCTATTTCCTTTGTTTTCCACTTTTGCAGTTTCCCCAGATTTTTTAAGGACACACAGCACACTAATGCTAATAATATTTGGGGAATTAGCATGTTAGTGCCAAAATACTATTTTATCCCTCTCAAATGGTACAGGTCCCAAAGCTTTTGCAGTTCATCAACCCGACCATGTTCAAAAAGTGAACTCTTTTTTTTTTTTGCCTTTGCCATTCGAAGGTCATGACAGTGTGACCTGACAGAAAATGACAATGAATCAAGATTTTTGCACAGATTTGACCTGGCATGTGGTCCTAACCTTGATCAGCTGTAAAACAGCCTGTTTCAGTTTTCAATAAATTGCATGCTCGAAAAAATGTTTTGTCTCACTCCCATTTCTTCGTAATGCATGTTCAAGGTCTACTTGGAACCTTGTTAAGATCCAACCATGCAAAATATGATTTTTTGCCATTTTTCAAGTGGTCTTAAACTTTCGATTGGGACTGTATAATCGTTAGTATTTTATACAGATTCAACAAAAGAACTGGAAACAAATGATATGTTTTTGTGCCTAAAGATATAATTTAAAATAAAATATTTGCTATTTTGTTTGGTGTGTGCAGACAAAATGCTTTATTATGTCGATTATGACTGATTCACAGGTCAGTATTAAGTTACCAAAAAAAATAAAATTCCTCTAAAAATGGTCGGCCTACGTTTATTACTCAACACTATTTTAAAAATTACAAGTCTGGCTCTTTAGAAGCAGAATATAAAGAAATGAGGGGGGAATCAAGACTTTTGCACAAGACCTTTTATGTGGCCAAAATGTAAGGATGTGGAGGCCAAATACACACAAACATTTCGCTTCCACATCCTTCCATTTTGATTTGTTCTGCTCACAATCATCTGACTTACGATGCTTTTTTTTGCTTTTTGATCTGTTTATTGTCTTTCCAACTCCCATGGTCCCATCTCTCCTGTTAGGAAAAATTTGGGTGTTAATTGGACTGACGTGTTGAACCTTATTTCCTGCACATGACGTTTCTCGTGTACACACCAAAGACCAACAATTATGAAAAGGTTTACTGCCATCAGTAGAGTCAGAGTCAATCTCATCTCATGCTTATGCCCCCAGTAAATAGTCATAAAGCCAGAAATAGCACCGATCGAGCCTTGTCCTCCTCCTCTTGCTCATATAAATAAGCATGCACGCATTTGTGCTCAATGATCTGTTCCATGCATGTGCACATTCACAGGCAATGCTCATTCTAACACATGCAGACCTGCACACAAAGGGCTCGTGTTTGTGTACATGCACTTTCTTCATAACTCATTCACACACGCATTTCTCTTTTGCCCTGCCCTTGTTTATTTGACAAGCTACATCAGATCCCTGGCAGCCTAGGCTCCATTTAGATTTCCATTTATAGTGTTGAGGATGAATTATTAAAATCACCAGGAGATTTTTTAGCCTCTCTTTTGATAACATTGAGGTCTGAATAGAAACTACAATGAGTCTAATAACTGCTACAATTCCCTCCTATTAAAACAAAAGCAATGAGCAGCTTACGTGAGGCAGAAAACCAGGTAATGAATGCATGGAGGGAGAGGCACACAATGGGCAAACCAAATGCAGGTTTTGTGAAATGGAAATCAGGGGACTGACAGACACTTTTGAAAAGGCCAACCAAAGGCGACATGCATTTGATGAACACTTCTATCTGCAGGGGCATCATCAGAGAAGTCTTGAATAAATGTGCTGTGGTTTATAAAGGCTAACACTGCACCTTCAACTGTGACCTGATGGTCAAATGAGTCACTGCTGCACTTGTGGCATGACAACACACCTATAACAATCCTTTTTCACGCTTCACTCTCAACCACAGCAGCTTTCTTCCTGCAAATTTCTTATTACACGCTCATGGTACTTGAAACATGGAAGGACATAGTGTCATGCACTACTGTCATGCAGGCGGGAGTTAAAATGCATTTTTGTAGAATACATGTGTTATTTTCAAAAATCAAAGATTTATTATTTCTATTTGTACTTATTATCATACTATTTGTTTTCTTCTTTGTTCTTCTGTTGCTAGTATTATTGCCTTTGGTTTTTTCAGTATTCTACAAATACTTCTAGTTTAATTATAAGTTCTGGTGTAAACTCTATGAAATTTGTACAAGTGTGCACTTGAGGGAATAATGACCTGCTGCTGGTCGGCCAAATTTGAAACTGCCCACCCATCTCATGTCATTGTTGCAAAGCTACCAAATCAAGAAAATGGAGTGCAGTACATCATTAATAACAATAACAACAACAACAACAACAACTCAAACAAAACATTAAGTAGAATTTGAATTGCTCAGTTACAAAATATGGAGTGAAATCTTAATCATGACACTTAAAAATAATGTGAACCTTAACACAAACTGCATTGCGGTGTTTAGAATACGGTTTTAAAAGCTCCTCGCTTGTGCAAAATTGCAAAAAGATAGCTTCTCATTAATATTAATGACTTAAACAGATGGAGCATGAGCTCGGTGTTTGCATAAAAACAAGGTTTGGATTGTTATGTGCTGGAGAGCCTGAACAAACAGCAGGCATCTCTCTCCTGTCTGCAGGTAAGCATGCAGTCTTTGCTTGCTGACAGTAGGTGCTGAGTCAGGCATACTCATCCCAGAGATACTCATCTCGGAGATCTTGTGGGAATAATATCATTCAGCCCTGCTCACTGCTGAAGGATAATACCCAAACACTACGAGGATTTGAATGCTTTGTAAAGAGTCTGAAATGTTGAATTCCTAAACAATGGGCAGTATCTTTGAGCTTTCCAAAAACCATGTCTGTGAAGACAGTCTTTAATATATAATCTTAAAAGTATTAGTATACTTTTTCATATTTGTGATTTTTTTCAGCTATCTGGAAAATTTTACAGTGGTTTTGGATCAAAGATCAATCTGACCCAACTCAACATTTTCTATATATGAAGGCTCCATTGATCCAGTCTTGTAATGGCCCTTTTACGTGTCACGATAAAGAAAAATTACTAATGGAAATGTTATCAGCAGTTAGAAGAGACCGAGCTAAAAATAACTAGCCTTTAAAAGATGATATGGCAGCAAAAAGGCAATAAAATCCATGCCTTGATTATTTTCCATTACAATACTGTAAAAAAACAGGCTTGACTGTCAGTGTTTGTGAATGTAATTACTCTGTACTAAGGGATATGGATATGAAATAATGTATAACATCACAAATTATGTATCAAGGTTTTAAAAGACAGGCAGACTTTAGAAGAAGATTGGACGATACCAACCTTAAGGGCAGGGACAGGCAGGGGCTTATTGTCCTTGTCCAGGGAGATGAAGGTGAAGAAAGCTGAAACAGCACGATATTTCCCCTTCTGTGCCTCCAATATTGAGGACACGTCTACCAACACCTCAATCTCCATTGATTTGTTACTGACAAATGTGAGTCGTCCCGTCACCGTCACCACACACCCTTGGGAAGAAGAGGAAAAGGATATTGAGCACTCTGATTTTCAGTGTTTTAAAGTAAAACCTAAATATGTTGCCATTTAGAGACATTTTCATTTTTTGATATTTACCATAAGATTTTCTACCATTTCTCAGACATATCAGTTATTTTAAGGCTTCACTTAGTCTTATAAAGGTGAAAAAAAGAAGTTGCACAAGGCATCAGGTTTTCACAAAAACACAGCATTCCAACCGCTACATCAAAATACTGAATAAATGTAAGTAAACTCATACTAAATAGCTTTAATTACACTGAATATGATCTATATAATAAACCAGCAGAGGAAGATTTCAGCTCTGGTCTTGCAGTCTCTATCGCATTGTTGCATCATGGCGTTTTCGAGACAGGCCGGCGACCTCTGGCTAAAAGCTCACGCTGAAGTAATATTGAAGCTGCACTTTCTCAGATATCTAATCAACCAACTGTCTTTCACTCAAATATGTGCTCTCTCCTGCTTTTGTCACTGCAGCGAGGTGGGAAAAAAAGTCATCAAATAATATTACAGAGCATTGTTGATGTATTTCATTATTCTCTTTGATGTGCCTGTACTGTAATATTACTGCAGTTGCCATAGAGACAAGGAAAGAAGGTGTTACTCCTGCAGTCAGGAACAGATCGCAAGTATATGAGTGAGATCTTATAAAATAGTCAAAGTCCTAAATAATAAATGATGCACATAAAAAAGGGGGGGAGGCTTTTATCAGTGTATGAGCTGCAAAGCACTCTGACACGATGACAACAATACAAGAATTCTACCAGAATTAGACTTGACTGTTGTTCAGTTACAGATCTCGTATTCATGCAGGATACTCTGCAAAATTCATGGGTATGAGTTTGGTTTTCTTGACAAGTAAGCCTCTGTTGTCAAAAGATATGCTTATAGAGTCAATAATTAGGCTTTTTACAGTAAACCCAGGTTTGTTACCCTAACCCATCCATCCATCCACCCTCTTATCCAATTCAGGATCACAGGGGCCTGGAGCATATTCCAGCTGTGACAGGTTGAGAGGCCATGTACACCCTAGATAGGCTGTCAGGCTATCACTTGGCTGACACCAAGAGACAGACAAGCATTCACGCTCACATTCGAACCTAGGGCCAATTTAGAATAGCTAGTTACCCTAACATGAATGTCTTTGAAGTGTGAGAGGAAGCCCAGAGCATGTGGAAAGAAAACACACACAGGAACAACGAGACTACATTTATAAAGCAGTTTTTAAGGCTTTAACAAACAAACTTTTTGTGTTTGTTTTGATTATGGTTTTCTGTGATGCAGCCTAGAACTGAAGTACTGAGGGTAAAAAGAAAAAAAATGGAGACGGCAAAGAAATGCAAAACTGCACACAGGTTCAGCGTAGGCACACATGAGAAAATAACACAGTCAAAGTTTATGACATGCAAAAAATGTCCAAAATCTTAAATTACAAGCAACAAGATTTCTAATGATATACGGAGCTTAACAAATTGATTATCACCACCAAATACAAGGTTTAAGCCACAGCTGCCTTAAATTAACAGTATTATTAATTACCAAAATCACTTTTAAGTTTCTGTAATGTTTAATCCAACAATATGCACAAGGTCTTTAATCAAGTTGAGAAAATTGTAAAACTTTGTAGATTTTTATATATGTTAAGATGACTATTACGCTATCATTATCACACATTCAGTAACCTTGGATGCTGAGATATTTAGGAAATGGCAACAAGGTGATCATGAAAATCCATATGGGTAAAGAACTTTAAACAGATAATAACGTGCAGTAACTGCGGTGAGGTCTTTTCAGCATACCTGACAACCGAGACCACAAATTTGAAGCATTTCATTTCTCTCTTGTCGACTGACCTCTAGAGCCTTTTTTTAATGCTCCCATGTGTCAAGTCTCATTTAGATAAACTATCTCTTACTAAGATTTATTAGGCTCAGTGAAACAACCTCTGCTCAGTGACATTACACAAAAATGAGGCTTGATGATGGGTGAGTTTGAAGACCTTCAGATTAATGCAGAATGTAGCTCTTGACTTGTGCAGCATTGGAGGTCAGCCAACCAAAACAACTGGCAGAGACCCATGTCTGAAGAGCTGGTAAAGCTAATCTGCTTTGATGAAGGTACCCAGTCCACGTCCAGGCTCAGTGCTGTATGCATGTAATGTAATACCTCACAACAACAGATTTGTTATTTTAGCGGTTGAAGATGGATGGATGGATGGATGGATGGATGGAGTCTAGGCTTTTCTATTAGTCTTTTCACTGACTAACAAATAGCACTGAAGACAAAAACACATTTGAGTGTCTTTCCACAGGTCATTTTTTTTTCTTTAGCTAAACAGTACATGGAAATGTCAGGGTTTTAACAAATAATGCTTTCAGTGAAATGAAATGTACACTTAATAAACAAGAACAACATTGTGACCACTCACGATGACACACTGGTCCTTTTATTTTTTCTTCTGTATCACATTTTCACTCTCACCATCAGCGCTTCAGTCCCCGTCTCTGAAATGTCCTTTCATCCAACCTTTTGAAGTTTCATGCCTTTCTTCTCATTATTTGTATCTCTGGTTGTTTTGCTATAATGGATCACAGAAAAGACCCCTGCCTGAACCCTCCTATGGTACATTATTGACTAGTATATTATCACCAGTGCATCCTCATCAGTGCCTCAATATTTGAATAATTAGGTCTGCTTTTTTTTTCCTATAATTCTGGTGTTCTTTGTGTCTTCTGTGATTTTTCGAAGTTGGACCTCTGAGGCAGTTCAAATCAGTTCTTATCTATGGTGCTTACAGTGAAAAGTCCACCGTCCTCTCGGGTATCACAACTAGGTAAATTTTTGTAATGTTTCTACCGTATTACCACAATTAAAATTAAGCTATCCAGATGTCTGGCACTTAGTGACCAGGACCTTAAAATGACATTTGTTTGTTCCTTTATATATTTATGTGGCAAAGGTTGAAATGCTAGCACCAAACAGTTGGGAGCAATTCAACTGGCAAAAGAAACAGTAGCTAGATGAAAATGCATAAAAATAAAATGACAAAATAAATCCAGAGGTAGAGTCGACAAAGCTAGTGGCTGTTTTTTAGGATCCTTTTTGTTTTGATACTTATTTCCATTATTTCCCTAAACGTAACTTCTTTTTTTTTTTTTGCCTGACCAGCTAGAGCAAAAATGAGAACTGTAGAAGTGACATAACCCCTAAGTCACTGTGGAGCCAGGGGAAATCATGTCAGCACTAACTGAACTGTGAGGACAGATGAAGGTAGCAAGTGGAGCAACTAGGGGCAGATGAAAGATGTGGTCATGGATCCCCACCACTCTGTGCTGTTCAGTTTTCTGCTCCTCACACCCCTGAAAGGAGGGTTTTAAATGTTTTAAAGGTCCCAACTCCTTCACATCCTGCCACTCTGTCTGTATCGTTCAAACTGTTGGGAAAACAGTGAACTGAGCAAATGTTGCTGCATGAAAGTTGTATTTAAAAGCACATATACTGCACAGCTGACCTTCTACACTTATGCTAAGCTGTAAAACTATTAATTACTCAGTGGGTTTGCAGAGATGTAGCTGGTCTGTTGTTTTCAAATCATAACCTAACAATATGAACATTATGTTTAGTACATCAACAGATAACAGACACTAAAGATGCTCTTAGTAGCTCCCTTATTTCAGATGCATTTTTGATTTGCCACATGTTGATGCCAGATGCCCCCCCTGACACAACCCATTCACCAGCCACCACCAGCGCTAGTATTTTGGTTCCACTGGCACAAGTCTCTTTGAAAAGACGCAGTCACTTCAGAGGTGTTCAAATTCCACAAAATGACAAAATAACAAACTGTGCGAGTTGGTGGAACAGCTAACAGCACAGACAGAAGATAGTGAGGCTGTAACATGCAAGATAGATCACAACCCTGAACTGAACTGAGGAGGTTGCAGTTATACTGTATTGTCAGACATGTATCATCTGTTATGTGTGCCTTTTGTGGGACACTATGTTCCTGCCTTCTTAGAATTGCTTTTATTATGACTGTCCCTGAAGGACTTTGGATAAGCTCGCTTATCCAAGAAGTCCTGGCAAAAAATTCTGCACTCCAGTGTTCAACTGGACAGATTTTCCAACTGAAATATCAAAGGCTACATGGATAAAGGTATTTAGAGGCTTATAATTTGTTCATCTGAACCTTTCAGACTGTGAGGCGCTTACAGCAAATACAGTATAAATAGACAAAGTTTGGTAATGGAAAATAGTTAGGTCATTATTAACAGTGGTGTGTGTTTCCAGATGTAGTGGCAGCTCTACAAAACACAGTTGGCCTTGGATAGCAACCGTGTGACAGCTGTTAACGTTGGCTTAGTTGATTTAAAACAGCACCGCCAGAGGCTAAATTGAAAAACGCTTTAGAGTTTCCATTTTATCATCTCTGGTCAAAAGGCGAGAAAACGTTTTGCAGCATTCCTCTTGGTAAAGCAAATGGACAAGACAAAAAAAAAAAGCAATAATCATGCAGAAATATCTCCCTGCATCTCTGGATATTTGTAAGTATCAGAGATTTAAAAGTATGAGTGTATTCTCTGTGTTTTCCTCACCTTTCTTGATCTTGCGATGGAAATTGATGGCATCCACTGAGGCAGTGACAATATTGGTATTGCAGTGACGAGCTGCCACAATGCCAGCGACCTCATCCATCAGCTTCATGGTCACACCTGTGTCAAACACACACACTTTTAATTTATTGCATGCAGTCCAGCCAAAAAAGAAGCTGCGTAAATAACCCTTTTGCACCACCCTAATCGAATTTTCTTACTCCACTGTGGCTCTCTTGAACAATATGACACTAATGACGCCACCCGTCCATCAGTTCTGTAGCGATGCTACATATAAATATTAGCTAATGTGCTCCACTCTCTGCTGAAGCTACAAAATAGCTTTGTTGTTTGTGAGTAATAAAAATACATTTTCAGGGTCAAGAATGAAGCAAAACTGACCAACATGTGATTGTGAGCCTGTACAACCTGTAGCATCCAGCACTCTTTTCATCCCCAGTGAAACTTGACACTCGCTTGTCTTTAAATCGACAAAAGCTTTTAAAAGAAAATGTAGTCATCAAGCTGCAGCCAAGTTCGAGACACGGTTTCACTGAGAAGAGATTATTGGATGTGGAAGCTAATGATATTCCTAATGCAATTAGAAAACTATCCACCTAAAGTTAAATGGCAAATAATGAACAAGTCTGCTTGCCATTTTCTCAACATTACCTTTTCTTTCAGACGCATTAGTCTAATGTGTATGAGCTGACTGTCTACCAGAAGTGTTTCCAGCCAGCTCACTGTAAGCTGAAAGATGTCATCAGGGCTCAATTAAATAAAAGCCATTATTATTTTTTACGTTTCCCCCATGTTTGGTAATTCTTCAAATTACAGCTTGTTTATCCACTGTAAACAACATATGATGAAAAGGCAAATTGAAAAAACACTTACAGACACTACACGGGTCATTTGTCTGCACCATTAAAACAGGATAAATTATATTACATTTTTATTTACATTTTAAATTAAAACAGGACAAAACCTATTTTTTATGTTAAATCTAAGTAACAATATTTTCTCAAATTAGTACATACAAATAGTTTACAGGCAGCAATTGTGCCATTTTTCCTTCATTGCAATGTTTGACTGTATACAGTGACCACTGGTCCTGCACTGCTTTTTGTGAGTCACAGTGTGAGTCTAATAAAACGGGTATAGTAAAACTCCCTATATATTCAGACAAACACCATAAACTGGCAAACTGTTATACAGCCCTGCACATAATGAGTGTCCTAAGAAGCCTGAAGAGATTGAAGAGTGTAAAATTATTATTCCTGCACAAAACGTCTGAACCGGTGTTGGCCAGGCAAGAAGCACAAAGTTAGGAAAAATTGCTGTCTGGCCAAGATCTAATTTCCAGTAAACGTGTCGTCGTTACTGTTACAGATCAAATAAACATTAATTAGTGAGCTACAGTCACGCTTCCTTCAGAGCCAGTAAGCCCTGCGTGTTTGAAACGCATACAGAGATAAGTGTTTGTGTTTGCTGTGCGCAGTCAATGTGTTTAGCCCAATCTTGGTAAAAACAGGGTGCTTGTAAGTATCTGGAACACAACCTGCACAAAGACAAAGAGCTCTCAAAAAAATGAAAACATGTGGTCGTAACACATGTGAAGAAGACTTGGATAGATTGTTTGCCGCAGTTTGTTATTACAGTCGTTATCAATGACTGGGTACTCAGTCTCAGCCCTGCAGCTATTCCAAAGTGCAACAGTGAAGTCTGTTCTCTGTGAGAGATGAAACTACAAAAGCTCAATAGCCTCCTTTTAAAGTCAACAGGAAGGTGTGCATTTGATTAAGATGTAGACAGATTGAGTGAAAAGTATCACATTTCAAACAATTCAACAACAAAAAAGTTTACAGACCACCTTTTCACTCGCAAATAAAGCTTGGAAATAGTCTGATGTGCAAGAAAACAGTTTGAAATCAAAGTTTAGAGATTACACGAAAGCTTTGCCATTTATACAACACGCAACTTGGCAACTTGTGTCAAATGCAAAGGAAGCAGTCGTTAGTTGAGCTCTCGCAGAAAGCAAGTGCGTGGCTTAAAATGAACAGAAAAAATAAAGAGGATGGCGTGTGCTTGTCTTCTCTGTTAAAGAGTGTGTGCACTCTGTGAAAGAGTGTGTGCACTCTTTCACGTGTGCTTTTGTGAACCTACGCTCATTTGAAGACAGACGTACCCTCCGCTAGACACTCCGGTTGCCTCAGTCGTTCCCTCTGAGCTGCTTTTTGTATGGCTTGTGTTACAGCAAATCAATAAGTGTGCTTTCTGATTGCTGATTTGGCTCCCGAGGGTTCATACCATCTGCACTGTGTAGCTCTGTTTGTGACAGCCAAATGTGTGGGAGTACAAACAGAATGTACCGCTTCTCCAAAATGCAGCATTCACTGTAAGAAGTGGGCCCACTGAGTTGATTAAGAACTAAACACACTATTACTGAGACATGCTCTTGCCCCAAATCATGTTCAGGGAATAACGGTAATTTTATTTACCGTCCCAGTGTCTGCAAAGTGACACTGTCCAGCTAAGTAGAACCATTACAGACTGTACTAGTTCTTGACTTTCCAACAGGACGTTTTAAAATAGAAAATGGATTAGCGCTGACTCTGATGTGTGATTATTTGGTTCAACTCAAACCCAAAACAAAAAACGGCTGATTGATTAAGTATATTTGTCAAAAGTGCTCTCTGATTGAGGCTGATGATATGATTACATTTAAGGAAATGCTGTTGCCACACATAAATGGGACAATAGCATGTTAAGCTAAAATGTGTTTGGGCAAACAAAATTATGTCCTTAAATCTGTTGCAAAGTTGTTTTTATTGTTTTTTTTTAAAGCAACTTTTTTTTTTTTATCTTGTTTTGTGTTTTGCTTTGTTTTTGTTTTGTTCATTTCTGCTATGTTGTGAAAATTGATGGGATCTCACCTAAGATTGAAAATTTCCCCTGGGTACAAGGCACAGCAGGCTACTACAATTCAAAGCCTGTAGCTGTCGTGTATGAGCATGTAACACTTAATGGAGATGGATCCTGACCTGAACAAGATGATAAAATTGAAAGTAAATGCCGCTTTACATCAAAGTGGTAAACTTCCCGACTTTAGTTTGTTAGGATCCCCCTCTAACTCAAAGTTCCTCTCAGCTCACTCCATTTTATCTACCAACAAATTTAATCATTACCTTATAAAAAAAATTCAAAAAGGGAGACAATAACATTTTTTCATAGTACTGTTTGCATGCAAAATAGGTCACATAATCACCCTAACATTTATAACAACTTCTAGCTGTTGTTTTGGATTTCAGCTGCATTTATTTTTTCCATCTCACAGCTCTGATCGATGTTTTTAAACAGAGGAAGCAGCTGTTTTCAGGGAAAATCCCCCACCCAGGACTAGACTACATGCAAAGTTAGTAACCGGCTCATTAACAGAGTGAAGCATTTAGCAGCAAAAGGCCAGATATTTCCCTGTTACAGAATCTGATCTGAAATATCAGTTTCTGTAAGTAGATATTAAAGATTCTACACATAGTAAGTAAACAGCTGTCCTTCCCTTTGCTACATTATGTGTTTTATCATTTAGGATTTTAGGAAGACTTTTTTTTAAAGGTCATTTCAGTTTTTGAATGATGAGCTTCTTAGTTATAAGAATATTGATATTTGGCTTAGCAAAATCTTGCTTCCCTGACATAAACTGATAACCATCCAGGCATCGGGCTGTTTTTCAGCTGTTAATGAACTGCAACATTTTATGTAAATCTTTTCCACTAAAGTTAAGGCATTTGGTAGTGAAAAGATAATTTATTGTATTATACATCAATCATACACTCAGATTTGTTACAAGGTTATTACAATTGAAGCTGAAATCTGAGAGTAGAATTTAAGGCAGCAATCTAACTGAGCCAGATAAGCAGTAAGTAGATAGTGCAGCTCCATTTTCTACATTAATGTCTTGTTTGTCGTCATTTCAAACAACAAAGTATCCGAGTCGGAAGCAGCCGTGCGTCAACAGATAAACCCAGAGACTTCTGGCGGCTAAGAATAACTACAAGCACTTTTTCGCTAGAAGTTTAATGGCCTTGCTGAGAGGCAATTATGAAGAATCGTCAACATTATCTACATTTTTAAAATTTCGTTAAGTTTACTTTTGTTTTTTTTCCACAACATATGCTTGTCAAATTACAGGAAAATGCTTTAGCACTTCCCAGACTAGTTCATTAGCATTACTCATCAGCAGCAGTAAAGTTATAGGCTGTATTTACTTCAGAGCGCTGCTATTAAATTAAGTTGTTGTTGGGGAAAAGCAGTGCGTGCGAGTCCACAGAAGAGACAACAGTCAAAATCAGGTAACTGCTGACAACTCATTTAAGCTGCACATATTCCACATTTCTTGAACCCAAATAAATGCTTGCATATCATTTATTTCTTCAAAGATCAGCTTGGATTCCAAAACTACCAAGTGCAACAAAACCCTATGACTACAATGTTGTGCCACATCAAGTTAAAGACTGCACTGTCCTTGGGGACCAAAGATGCTTGTCTTAATTAATCACTACCATCAGAGGAACTGCTAATGCAACTCCTGCACAAATCTCTCTGTACAGTCAATGTAAAAGGTTAAAGTGAGGCTCAATGTGAGACTGCAAAAGAGGACATGCAAGGCCAAGTCAGCCCTGGGCCTGGCGTTACACATTCACAGAATGACATGGCACACTATGACTCTCCCTTTGCCGTAGGGTGGGAACACAGAAGGCGGGAGGGGGAGGGGGAGGGGCAGCGTGTGTGTGTGAAGAGGAAAGACAGCTCACTCCAATGGGGAAAAAAGGGCAATTAGCAACCAAGTCCGTAGTGCAGCCCAGTTTGCCACGGGGCAGAATACCTCAGTGATTAGATTCCTTGTGACGATTTTCCCAAATCTTCACGGACAATGCTCTCCATAGGCAACAGGCACAATGAGAACAATGAAGGAAGTCTTCCAGGCAGCTCTTGTTGCCCATCAACTCTCTGTACTAACTTCAAGCACTTTTAATTAGAACCAGTTCCGCACATTACGCAAGGCACCCATGGATGAAAGGCAGAGACGTGTGAGACCAAAGGATATCGACAGCAAAGCATGA